AAACACAGTTAAATTTCTATTGCATACATTTATTTTTTTAACAAATAAAAGTTGATCAGTTAAAAACACACAAAGCCTTGATTTTCAGTACCTTTTTTTCAGGGAACGGGGTTTTTTATAATTGATGTTCTGACAGAAGAAAAACCATGACACTGCTATTCAATCCTGCACAGCCATGTTGGATGAGTAGTTAACTGTCCAGAAGGATGGAGGATTTAAAGCTTTGTGGAGAGAGAAGGTATGCAGGCAAAGGTGACACGGTGCATGATGGTTATAAATTCAGCGGAGGGGAGAGAAAGGTCAGATGGACTGATGCTGGGAGAATGAGACAGTCAGCCTCATAAAACTAAAGAAACATTGAGATTTTCACCACTAAAGACCATCCACCTGTGGACCATGAATCTTCTCTCACTTTGGTCCACTCCCGATTTTTAATGTTTCTTTGGGAATCCTTAAGTGAGAATTCCACACTGGGATCACATGCTTCCTCCTTTGTTTCCTAAATATGCAGCAGTGCTATTGTGTGTACAGGCTGCAGGTCAGGCACATGTTGTATTGTCATAGACAGAGCAGTAAAGCTGTGGGCTGAGAGGAGTGGGCTTAGCCGTCAGTGCACCGCAGCCACTGCTCTAAATCACTTCCTCTCTCCACTCCGCCTCCTGTCTTCTTGACCTCTGCTAGTATCCACTGACCTGGAAAATATCTGGCGAGTCCAAGCCACTGAGACTGGCGCTGGCCCTTGCCCCGCCTGCAAACGGCAGAAATATTGAGCCAATTACAAGATTATTATCTGGTGGAGGCACAGGGACACTGTGTGTGTGTGTGTGTGTGTGTGTGTGTGTGTGTGGCTGTGTGTATTTATGCCTGCCAGGCCTCCCTGCTGGAAGGGGCGAAATTAATCAAAGCTTTGTGGGGGAGAAGTGGACAGAACTCATGCCCACTTGCCTCTATATCTTTACAGCTCCTGTCAATTGGCACACACTGGCCCGAATCCAAGGATCTTTCCCGACAGTCCAGGATAACACGAGGAAATGGCTTCTATTTGGAGCTGATTGCTTGTTAGCTTCACATGACACCCTGCTAAATTATTGCTTCACCCAATCTGCAGTAAATAAGCCCCCATGGCACATTTATACTCTTTTGGCATTAATATAACAGTCAGACATGAGTCACAGCCTGTATGTGTGAGTAGAGCTGAGCTGGTCTGCAATAGGAAAAGAAAAGTAGCGGCCATATTCCAGGGTGGTTACTTTATAGACAAGTGTACAAAGGATGCATTGACTGATGAATTTGACTTCACTCTGTACATTCCCTTTCATTTGGAAAGGTCTGGATCAACCCTGGCATCTTTTCGGCTCTCTGGTTGGTTTGACGTACAGTAAGAACGTGTGTTGTGTTTGTCGTGTACACAAGCTGTTTGTGATGTTCTTAGTCATGCTAAATATTTATTTCTTGTTTCCCTGCACTGTACAAAACACGCCAGAGTGGGGGATTGATTTAAAGTCAGAGCTGAGTTCATGAGCTGTGTTTCTTATTTGGGGTTTGGGCCTGCGTCTTGTTTCGTGATGGGATCCTGCAGTCTGTGTTTCATGCATGAGTGTGTTCAGGGAATCGTATTTTAGCAGAACGATGAAGACATCAAAGCTGTGTCTAGAAACGCAGTAAATCTCCAGCACTTGGATGGTTTGTCATCTGTTACATCACCTTCCCTGCCAATAAAGTTTCATTTGAAAGCTCGGAATGTTTTTGCGGTACAACGGAACGAAATACCTCCGGCTAGTTCACTTTATTTAAAACCAAGCATTCCTTGAATTTTGGCCCAACCAAAACTTAAGTGTTCAGAACTAAATTTTAGAATTATATCCAGGAACCGCCTTACTTTATATACTTATTGATCCACATGTTCTTATTGTTATACAGTTGACATATTATGCACTGATTTTGCACACGTTATTTTACTAGTTTTTGAGAATGTTGTTTTGGAAATTAAAAAAAAATGTGACTGTGGAATTAAAAACAAAAGACTTGAAGTCTCCCACAGACTCCTAATCTGTGCCTGGGGGCTACCAGCCCACAGCTGAATTCACTGCCAGCAGAACAAGTGAATCT